GATGGTTAGATAGCATCACTGAAACAATGACCATGAAACTGAGCAAACTCAGGGAGGCAGTAAAGGACAGGAAGGCCTGACGCGATATGGTTCATGGGGTCACGAAGAGTCAGACATGACTTAATGATTAAACAACAACCAATACAGAAATATGGCAAACAATAGAAAAGGGATCAGTATAGGTTCTAACCAATCTATGGTAGCAAATCTAGAGAAAAACACTGGGGCTAACAGATTGGAAAGATTCGATCTATATATCAATATCAAAGAAAGGAGACTTAACAGGCTGCAATATCCTGTACAATATATTTAATTTCACATACTAGCAATAACGCTTAGGATCACTGAATGCAGATCATATCCCTACATGGAAGAGGAGTTGCCTGATGTTCAATCTGGTTTTAGAAAAAGCCAACGAACATGGGACATCGTTGCGGATTCATGCTGGATAATTGAGAAAGCAAAAGAATATCAAAAATAAGTAAATAGTGCTTTATTGTTTATAGAAAAGCCTTTGATTGTGTTGCTGATGTCAAGCTGTAGAAGTACTTAGGAAAATCAGAATCCCAGAACAGTCCAGATGAAACATGGCAAAACAGACTGATTCCAGTTTGTCAAAGAAGTGAAACAAGACTGTATATACTGTCCCCCCCCCCTTTTTTTTTTCTTTTTCACTCTGTATCTAGAATATATATTAAGGGAAGCTGGATTAGAAGATGAACATGGTTTCAGAATTGGAAGAAGAAATATCAATAACCTGCGCTATGCTGATGACACTATTCTGATAGCTGAAAATGCAAATGATTTGCAGGTTCTAATAATAAAAGTTAAGGTGCACAGCAAAAAAATGGAGCTAAGATTAAATATAAAGAAGACCAAACTTATATCAACATCTACAGCAACCAGCATTAGAACTGACAATGAAGATGCTGAAATGATGGATAGCTTCTGGGTTTTAAGACTGACTATCAACAATAGAGGACATAGCAGATAAGAAATATGCTGATTAGAACTTGGTAGGGTAGCCATGAAAGCCTTAGAAAAGGTATTTAGATGCCATGACTTGTCTATAACAACAAAAGTCAGAATTGTACAAGCAGTGTTTTTCCCTGTAACATTTGGTGGAAGTGAAAGTTGCACTTTGAAGTTGCAAGATAGAATTAGTATTGATGCTTTTGGTGATGGAGAAGACTCCTAAGAATATCATGGATAGCCAAGAAAACAAACATATAGATCACCAAAAAAATTAACCTAGGGTTATCACTCAAGGTACAGATTACCATACTTCAGACACATTATGTGAAGACCTCCAGAGAACTCTGTAATGCTGGCAAAGATGGAATGAAAGAGAGGATACCCAGCAGCAAGGTGAACAGACTCCATTACAGCAGCAGTGAGTGCACCACTGGAAGATCTGAAATACCAGGTTTCATCATGGAGAAAATCTGTGTGATCTCTCTAAGAGTCTACACCAGTGTGATAGCATATAATCAATCTTTTACAAGGTGCTCAAGCTGAATTCTTCATAGGTTATGATATAGTTTACCATGTATAGTCCATGAAGATGGATGGATGGATGGATGGATGGATGGATGGATGGATGGATGGATG